TCGCGTCGCTCAACTGCACTTGCACCACAGCCTCGTACAAGAGCCCGAGCAGCCTGCTCTTCGTCGGCTTCTCCGGCTCCTCGCCCAACACGAGTGGCCGCGACGTCACCTCGTCCCGCGGATTGCGCTCCTGCCCCCGCCTGCCTAAATCAAGTCCCTCAACCGAGTACACACAACAAGGAAAGTCCGACAATTTTATTTAGCATAGTTTTATCTATTGTAATAGACGACCCACGTCAACAACAACAACGACCATCACGTACCGGTACGGTGTGGCTATTGTGGGTGCACGAAGTGAGTGACGGTGGACGTGCGCCTGTCCACAGCTGCTGGAAACGTCGCTGTGATTGGTGGCGCAACAGAATGTGCAATTTTGGATCCCATGTGCATTCAGAAACTTGACTTGCACCAGAAGTTGACAGGCCACGATGAGCCACACACCCGAGTTCAAGCTTCTTCTCGTTGGCGACGGGGGCGTTGGCAAGTCGGCGCTGATCAAGCGCCACTTGACAGGCCAGTTCGACTCGGACGATGACGTTGCTACGCTTGGCGTCGAGGTCCACCCGCTTTTGTTTGATACCAACTTTGGCGAAATAAAGTTCAGCTGCTGGGACATTGCCGGTCAGAAAAGGTTTGGCGGCCTTCGTGACGGCTACTACGTTGGCGCCCAGTGCGCGATCATCATGTTTGACGCCACGTCGCGCATCTCGTACAAGAACGTCCCGATCTGGCATCGCGACATTGTCCGCGTCTGCGAGGACATCCCGATCGTGCTCTGTGGCAGCAAGATCGACGCCATGACCCGCAAGGTACAAGCCGAGCAAATCACATTTCATCGCAAGAAGAACCTCCCGTACTGCGAGATTTCGGCCAAGACCGACGTGGCGTTGGAGATGCCCTTCCTCTACCTCGCACGCAAGCTCGTTGGAGACGACAACTTGACTTTTGGTTCGATCGGCGAAGCATTTGGCTATGAGCTACTAGATTGTGGCCCAGAAGCAATCGCCCGACTCGAGGCCGACGCACTGTGGGCCAAAGGCATGCCTCTTCCCGATGAAGACGACGACATTTAGCTTTTTATCGTAACAACTTGATCGCACCCAACATCCGATGCGTGGTCGAAGCCCGCACGGCCCGCTTCTTCTTCTTCCCGCAGCGCTTTGTCATACTTGACGCGCTTCATCTTCCACTCGACCAAGGTCTTCTGGCTCCGTTTCTCAATGGGCGGATAGTCGACGATGAAACCCATCTTCGCTGGGCCATTGCTGCTCGTCGGGCGCCCAGCGACTTGTTCTTTTTCATTTTGCGAGAGTTTTTGAGACTTGCGTATATTTTGCTCACAGCGTTCGCGGTGCAAGCTCAAACATCAGCGAGGGGAAGTCGTCTCTTGTGAAGCAGGCAGTTGTATCAGGCTTACACCACAAAGGCTAGCCCTCCCGCGCCGGGAGTCCTTCAAGATGAAGTGAGCCGAAGGATCGATTCCGATGGCTCCCGGAAGTGGCATCTAGGAAGAGTCGCTTGCGGCTCCAATAAAAGGATACCAGTAGGTCAGACCTACAACTACCATGTAGACTGTACAAGTCCCTGCAATGGTATCTTCACACGGCTACACCAGTCGAACGCAACTTGCATTGGTAGGACCAAGAGAGATAATACGACATAGCTTTGTCTTTGTGCTGTGTCAAAAGATCAGATTATCCATCCAGAAAGCCGAACGAAATTTGAGAAACGACGGATCTTTCGTACATGTACCGCCCCACAGCTCCACTTTTGACGTTGAGAGCTCGACAACTACGAATCAGCCCGCAGGTACCAGCAGGTATTGTACTATAAAGACATTACGTCACTCTTTTGCTGCAGTATTGTGAAAAAGTACCATCATTCACTACGCAACAAAACACGTAATCAATGCGTCGTCACTCTTTTGCAACAGTACAGTGAGTGTATTGTGAAAAAGTACCATCATTCACTACGCAACAAAACAAGTAATCAATGTCCATAATCAGAAGCGTTCTGTACACAGGTCTCTTGCATTTTAGAATTTCCTTCCACCATATCCATCATGAATTGGCTGGATCAAAATATGAGATATTCATATCGTGTACCTGAAATCAAGCTCCTCGTCGTTGGCGATAGCGGCGTCGGCAAGACGACGTTCCTACAACGTCATGTGACGGGCGAGTTTAAGAAGAGGTACATCGCCACGCTCGGCGTCAAGGTCCACCCGCTCCAGTTTGACACCAACTTTGGCCCGATCAAGTTCAACTGCTGGGACTTTGCTGGCCAGGGCTCCCACGATGACCACTACGCCGACGCCCAGTGCGCGATCATCATGTTTGACGTCACGTCGCGTGTCTCGTACAAAAATGTGCCCCACTGGTATCGCGCTATTCGCCGCGTCTGCGAGGACATTCCGATCGTACTCTGCGGCAACAAGGTAGACGCCGAGCGCCACAATGTCAAGCAAATCACTTTTCACCGTGAGAAGAATCTCAAGTGTGTCGAGATGTCGGTCAAGGCCAACTACAACATCGAGAAACCTTTTCTCTGGCTCGCGCGCAAGCTCGCTGGCGACGACAAAGTGAAATTCATTGAGGTCATGGGTGATCCTCCTCCAATGCCATTCAACATGGATCCGATGGAAGCCGAAATGAAGTATGTGATGGCACCGCTTCCCGACGACGACGATGACGAACTTTAGCTAACAGCCGGGAAAGATTGATGATCTAATAATCCAAGCTGAGAGGATCAAACTGCATACTACGTGGTACATGTTCATTTAGACGTGCGACGTACTAGTATTGAAATCGTGTTGACAAAACCTTCGCTTCCATTGAGTTTAGCTTATCGCGTATGCCACTCCTTGTCTTCAGATGTCTTGATGTTCGACGCATGTGCCTCCAGGTAGAGGTATTAATACTTTCAATACGCGTAAATTTGCTACTTGCAGCTGTGTCGTATGGACTCCGTGAGCGTCAACCAAGACGACCCATACGCATTCCAGAGATTTGGCAGCCTCGCTGCCAAATCTCTGGAATGTTCATGGTATCCTGAGTTCTGATTGGTGGCTTTAAAATGATTTTCTTCTTCTGATTGGTTGACATGTGGCTCTCGGCAGCGGCCGGCGCACTTTATCGAGCATACTACCTGTTACAACGAATAGACAGTATCTATTGTTAGAGGTTATCGTGGCGATCGCCCATTTTCGATTGACATGGCCAGCCGCTGGACACGCATCCGCCCGACCCAGCTCCCCGCAGTGACAGTGGACAAGGTCTCGGCTGCGGCTCGCGTACTAAGCACCGCGACCTCCGCAAGCACCATCCAAAGCGCCGCGGCAGCGCTGCGGCGGCCCAAGGCCAACAACTCAT